AGAGCTAGGTTAAGGGCTGCTGTGGGCTGTAGTCTAGGTAGCTTCCGGTGAAAAATAAAATATTACATGTAATTTTGATTGATTTTCGAATGTAGTTCATCGTATATTTAGTCATTAATCCGAATTCTCTAGATTTAACTATATAAAATTATATAATACAGTTTACCAACCATCTCTTTTTCATACATCCTTTTTCTTATCGCATCTTGTACATGTACAAGTTTGGATTTGTTTGAATTTGAACAAGTATTTGTTTAATTACAAAAATTTTTGGCTCACCTTGTGAATTTTTTTAAGCTAGCTGATAATATGAAAAATACGGTATCAAGTTTCTTTATTTATAAAAATGTAAATTTTTAAGCTAGCCAACCCGATAAAAAATTCCTAACTTCGCCATTACCAAAACCATTTAAGTTTTTTTTTGCTAGCAATATTTTAGTGATTCTAGAAGCAGCTCTAAACGTGATCATCAATTTTTTGATGTACCATAATTTATCGGGAAAAAGTGCAAACTTAAATACCAAACGACAAACACATTGTTCTCACAAACTAGTCTAACCGACATCTGCTATGTATAATTGAATGTGTCTTTTTATTGGGGGGGATAGGTTCTTTGTCGCTCTCTCTCTCTCTCTCTCTCTCTCTGATGAGTGGTCCGGCAAGTAACTTTTGCTTGTGCACCGCACGGCAATGCCAAATGAAGAAGAAAGTTTCATGGTGACGTCAATTGCTAGCTTGGAAAATGGGAAAGGAGGGGGACTAACTCTTCCACAGCATTACTTTTTGTCACTTTCACAATCTTAGGCAATGCGAGGATTAATATGGAATGGTAGCTGCGTGCAATGCACCCTCTTAACACCAATACCTAACCACATAAAGCTTCGAGTTTCCTACCTACACAAAAGACGTAACGATCAAGATGCTGTTTCCAAAAGAGGCTTGTTTTGTGAATCGTGACTGATGAGTTTCATGTGGTAAATCAGGTCAAAATGCTGCGGGAAATCGGGTAATATTTGTTTGACCTTGATGAGATGAAGAGTGGTGGATTGCACTCTTGAATGTAATGGAGCTTGAGATAAAGGGGCTCAATTATTAGGTTTGTGTTTTTTTTTTTTTTTTTTTTTTTTTTCTTTCTCTTTCTCTTTGATATACGCAGCCGTTGTCATGCATGACATGTCAGGTCGTTCCATGCCAAAATATTGGAGTTCTTGATGGTCAGATTTAGTTGAAGATAGGAAAATGACTGAGGGCCAATGGAGTATTAAAAGTTTTGAGTTTGAGAGTAATTTATATGGCATGAGTAAAATATCATTATGATATTTTATATTAATTATATAAAACATCACATAATGGTGTTTTTGTGTATTATTGACATAAAAACCCACAATAATAAAATATCCGTGCGATGTTAGTTTTTCTCATAGCTTCGATGAAAAATTAATTAATTAATAAATAAAATATGCAGGAAGCTTGCAGCAAGCACATGCATGCCTCAGCAGTTAACATTACTCAGTCAGAATGTTACATGTGTGGCTTGTTAGGTTCCCAAAAGCCAATAAGCAAAAGGCCTTGGATTGTGGTTGGATGTTGGCCAAATTTTAGAATATGGGATAGAAGAAGTCTACATAAATAACATTATGCAGAACATAACTGGTTAGGAATTATTTTATATTTTTATAGTTTGAGTAAGATAAGGAACAAGCATATCTGGCTTGGATTATATTGGCAGCGATTCAAAGGAGGAGAAAAAATGGAAGATATGAGAAGATATTACGGGCAACATATTTAACCTAATATAGATGATGGATAAAGATTCAAATACTTTCGTGATAATGAATATGAGTCACTTTTCTTTTAATTTAGTGAGAAATTCTTATAAACAGCTGTTATGCAATATATGATTGGACTATAAATTTTTTTTGAATAGGAGTTAAGACAAGTCAAAAGTCTAATACAATATTATTTCAATTTATGATTTGAAATATACATGTGAGTATCTCACTCATCAAGTGACACTATAACCATAAGAGTAACCAAGGACTACCTTAAAGTGTTAAAAGTTTTTTCTTCTTGGCAACACCTTTAAAGTGTTGATGTTAATGGTGCCAAAGGCAAATATCAAATCCCAATAATTGTAAAAATGGTTGTTGATAATATGTTCATGTTCTTTTTCCAATAGGGTTTTTGAGAGGGAGAGATGTGAATGGGTGTTCATGAAGATGGTCTCACTCATCACAACCAATAGTCGTTATATATCTTCGAAATTTCTTATCAACAAAAGAAGTGATGTTGAAAACTAAAGCAACTTCAACCAAAATAAAAGGAAATTTGAGAGGGAAAACAAAAATAAAAATATAACGCAAGGACAAATTTATGAGGAGGAGGTAGGTGGGGAAGAGGGCGAAAGAAAGAGACTAAGAGAGAGAAATTTGATAAAATACAAGCATCAAAATTTCCACTAGATAATTATATTTGATCAAATTTATGTTGCAATCACATATGTAGCTAATGAAAATAATAATTGTGATAAAAACATAGCGAATTATCCGATCTACGGTAATTTTCTTTTGTAATTGTGTAAGGTAACTTCTTATTATATTAACACATATTTACAATGCATTTAGCATAGTAAAATGAGAAGAAACCATTTTACTCCCAAGTCGTGAGGACTGAAGGAAGCAAATCAGATTTCGACCCGAGAATTCGAGCCTTGGTGTCCGGAAAAAATTCTGTTCCGGGCAATTCTGTGACCTCTCCATTTTCAGTAACTGCAATGGGGTAGCTAAGCAAATGCCCTGGCAAGTCACCATCCAATGTGTCACATGAATAAAGGTCCCAACGCTGGTCTGCAATTTGGTTCACCTTTCTTATGCATTCCACATTTTGTGGTTCAAGAAAGATGTCATTAAGCAGGCCCTAGTGTTCATACCACAATGACATTCTGAGGCCATGAATTTGTCCCCGGGCTGGCTTTCCGGTGGATGGATGATAGGGTTGGTAGGCCCCCATGGCAATCTCCGAATCCCTGGCTCCATCCATTGATCTTTGGTTGATGTTTGCGGACCCAATGATTATGTACTCATCATCAACTGCAAATTATGCAACGCATTTCAAACACTTGAATCAGTATATGTTTGTCCTGCATACAAATCCATGATTCTATTGTAGGGACGTCCACTTTTTCTTTAAGAACGGATGTTTCGAGAAAATCTCACTTATTATCAACTTTGTTCTACTTTGATCCGTTTATTGAAAAAGAGTTGATAATTTAGAGTTCATAATCACGCTTTGGAGCTTTGATTTCAGGTTTCAAGTATTACATTTTGGTCGAATATGAAGTTTGGAACCTAAACTCGAAATAATAAAAAGGAAAAACTGAAGAAAATTGAGTAGAAGTGAGCTTTTCTCAATGTGTGTTTTCTTTAAGTTAAATTAAAAGTTAGAATAGTTAATTAAGAAGAATGTGATATAAGATTGGCTTACCTATCATCACCTTGGCATGAACATAGATCATGAACCTGCCTTGCTTGTTGTGCTCGACTGTAATCTGATCCATGTTCTGGTTTTTCCGGAGGTTCATATTCTCCGGGTAGCTTCTTCTCGTGGTTACCAAGGCAAAAGAATGCCATATAATCCTTAGGGTTTGCCTCAATCCCCTTGACTTTGAGAGTTTGAGCAATGTCCCTATACATCATGTCCATCGTCATCCTCTGCCAATGCAACATTGCCTGAGCGGTTTGGCTTTCCGGGATGCCCTCTGGCCACATTGGCATCACAATGTAAACTGAAAATCTTTCTCCGGCTTCAATCTTACTAACAATCTTTAGTGACAGTTCCTTTGGGATCAGATGCAAAGCACCAACCTCCTCAACTTTTAGGGTAACATAATCTGAATGCCATCCGAAAGAGCTTCCAAGAAAGTACTGATTTTCGATGCAGATAAAAGACTTTGCGCACCGAATGGCATTGATGTAAGCATCCTGAATGCTTTGATCAATCACGTGATTTTTCCCGGTGACAAGGCCTGCCTTGGCAGCATCTTCGGGGGAGTCAGGGAATCCAAATGCAGCTCCTCCATCGATGGAGCGAAACAGCTGAACATTCGATGTATCATGGTCTGGAGGGACATAACCGGAGATGGTGGTATAAATGTGTCATCAAGCTCTCTGAGTTCAACAAGCAAGTCCTTCCCACCTTGCTTCCTTCACCTTTGCTCAAAATTGAATAAGACGTCCCATGCAATAGGCCCTTCCAATCGACAATGTATGTCGTGCCAAGGCTCCCTTGGACCACCTTTTGTGATCGAAGCGCCCACAAAATTAGGCTGATGGAGATCATTCTTGTGTGTTGTGTCTAAAGTCCTGAAAATGGGATGTGAAGGTGTGTCATATCTTCCATCACAAAGATCAATGCCACCAATGAAGCTCACAATCCTCCTCTTTTCCAACCCTCCTCCATTAGGCAATTCACTGTCCACCACGACAATCTTCTGGTGATGCGTAAACATGGTGGACACCTGTAAATCCTTGACAATGCTATTCCCGTTGTCAGGGTTTCGGGGACACAACACGCAATGAGCTGCTGTGTTGTGGAAGTAACTTTCAGTGTCTTCATCATGAGTAGCCATCACTCCATCTCTCTTTAGCAACTTCATTGAAGTTCTGTCATCCCACACAAGCATTAGGACTTTCACTCCTTCATCTGCCTCCTTCTTAAGAAACTCTCCGAGGGTCAAATCACCTCCCGGGATTTGCCTCTTTGGGTCCCTTACTAATGTGATTTTAGTACATACAGACCAACCTGCTATGTCACTACAAGAAAAATGGCCTTTGGGTACAAAATTAAGGACACAAATGAAGACTTTGTGTCCCTTCAAACGCCAATAGAGCAGAACAGTTCTCCTCTCCTCTCTCTCTCCCTTTCCCAATCCAACCAAACCTCACTTTACTTTTTTCCCAATTTTTCCTATTTCCTTATCTCTCTCTCTCACTCTGGATTCTTCTTTGGCTCCTTCGAGGAGGTCTCGCCGCATCTCACTTCCTGGTCACAAATCTCGACTTTACTTCTCTAATAATCGATGGACCTTCTTTCTACGTCTCGGCGCTGCTTCCATCATCAACTTCACCTCCGTTTGCTCGTAGTCGATCCAAGATCTACTCACTTAGACTGGCCGCCTACTCGTGTGTTCTTGCTTGACTAGCCGATGGCACACCATGCATACTTGACCTGAGATTTAGTCGTGGTCACTCTGGGAGCGATGGGTTAGTTTTTTTCTTTTTGTTGACGGGTAATTTTTTCGTTTAATTTTTTTTAATTTTTGACATTTTGAATTTAATTATTTGCCTTATTTAATTTCTAGGCTCTTGTACGAAGGGGGCGACAAACTAGTACTCTTGGAAAGGATTTGGCGAAATTCCTATTACCTTACTCCAAACCCGTGAATTTCAGCTGATTTTTCCCCTTTCCAGCTTGATATTTTAGCGGATTTGGATTTAGGTTGCTCTCGGTTCCATGGACTTCATTGATGATTTAGCATCTCGGAGTTTGGGTTCTTACCTATTTCAGTTTCGAAGATATTATTATAGATAGCAGGGTTTGTATTCGACTATAATCTGGCTGAACTCACAAGCTCATATTTGTAGTGATGGAGGATATAGGGTTGTCTAGACAAGCTTGGAAATAGCTGCAGTCACAGAAACACATTTATTCACGATCGCAAACTGCAATCGGTGGGTGTGGAGATGAAATCGGGATGTTTGTAGAGCGGCATTGGCCGATGCTGTGCAGTGAGTGCGCCAGGACAGGGAGGCTGTTGATCCTGTTGTTGATTTATTGGCAGGATTACGTCGTAAGAGGTTTTCGATCCTTTATCGGGTTGGGTTCTGCTTCTTTGCTCCTTATAATGCGGAGTTGCTTTCTCAGTTTGACTTCAATTTCTTGCCTGGTTTATTTACTTCTTAGTATGGTATGTTTCCTTGGTATTTTCTTTGGCTACTCTAGCATCGTGTAGGAGAGCGAAGGTAATCCTGATGGTTTTTTGAAAGTTATGTTTATTTAATTATTATTTTTTTAATTCACAAACCAAACCAGATCAAATTTTTTACTGATGCAGGGAAAGATTTTGTTTGGGATACTTCTGAAATACGAAAGAAGCGAAGTCGTAGGTAGGGACGATGATTTGTGGCTTCGAGTGGGACAAGATGGACATCCGCATATCTTGTAGCTTCATGACATGTGTATGGAGCAGCCTCGGGCGGTATCTAACAAGTATAAGTTGCATTGGGATATAGTTAGGTATTCCTACTCACAGGACTCTCTAACATTGGTATAAATGCTGAGCGGTCTGATTCAAGAACTTGGCAATGGTCTTCTCCAGAAGCATTCGGCTGATTTAATACGATCCATATACGGTTATGGCCGCCCGGAAAATTGAGGTTCAATGTCATATATACTCGTGTGTACGCATAAATGTACTAATTTACAACATTGTCTTATGAGCATTTAGTTGTTGCTTTTTTTTTCAATGCCTCGTCTTCTAGTACAGTCGTTTAATTTGATTATTAGATGGAAAGGATGTTGATATCATATCTCCTCAATTGGCATGGTTGTGGTGTTCATAGGAAACAGGATCTGAGAGAAATTTGTAGAAACTTTCATAAGGAATATAGTTAAGTGTTTATGTTTTGAGCAATTTTGATTTCAAATTTCTATGAGATTTTAATTTTTAAGTAGAGTACTTATTTGGCATATTTGTGGTGTTATAGGAAACAGGATCTGAGACAAATTTGAAAAAACTTTGAAGGGAATATGGGTTAAGTGTTTATGTTTTTGCAGTTCTGATTTCAGATTTCTTTTATTATAATCTGAATATGTAGTTTAACATTTTTGAGGTCATTGATTTTTTGGGTGCTGTACATTCTTAATTCTAAGAAGAGGAGTTTTGACTCTAAGTGCAGGTCTCGAATTGCTCCGCTCTTTGTGTAAGTACATCTCTGCATATCTTTATTTCCTCAATTATATTTGACTTTGTTATGTTGAGTTGCCAAATTAAAGATATTGCACTACCTTTTGATACTACATTAAATCGGAACATGCGAAACATTAAATTTTGAGTGTTAATTAGTGAACAGGGGCTGCATTTTAAATTTGTAAACATCCACAGTAATGGTTTGGGGCTTGATAGTTGTACCAAATCTCTTTTTCTTATTCCCATGGGTAGACCTTTTTGTAGCTTTCTAAGTTTGGGTTTTTCTTGATGTGTACTTACTGTGGTTTGAGATTACTTTCCTTTACAGGTCTGGGTATTATATAAAGCTTTGCGCTTTCAGATTAAGGTAAAGTTTGATTATACTTATAGTTAATTCTGATGCCCATCGCAAGGTTTATAATTTTTTTCCATTACACTTATGTGTTCTATCAATTAAACTCCAGACTAACTACTAATCTCCTAAGTTCTTTAAATTTGGGTTTGTTATTTGTTGTAGGAAATGGCATATTTTGAGATATTCTGCATCTTTCTTTCTTTAGTTCTTCACATTTGAAAGAGTGAGAATTATATTGTTGGGACTTTGGATTCTATTTGTATGTCCTAATTTGTGTGAGGATTGCTTGCCATCCATATAAGAATGTTACTAAAGTTTCAGGCATAAGTCTTTATGTTTCAATCACAAACAAGTGCATGTATACGTAGCAGAATTACACCAATTAATCTGTGGGAGGAAGGATATACAACAGCTCATGAGATAGAGATAAAGAATCATAATTTGAAAATTTGGAAGCCACTACATACTCATTTCTTGTTGCTCTGTGTAAATGATGTTTTAAGAGCGTCTTGGTAGTCTAAATTTATAGCTCCATCCTTTTCAGCGATATCCAATATGATAATGTCTTCTACTGCTTGGTATATTTCCTACTCATGGTCATTTTTCAGAGGCTATCAGAGCAGGGGCTGTTAATACTGGGTTCTATGCGGAGATCTCAAAGTTCATAGATCTGAGGAAAGAAAGGTATATTCATCTACCTGCACTGATCTAAAGCTTGATCTGTGAATAGTGTATGTGCTGCATCTCTGAACATTTATGATATTTTTTTTCCAAGTGGTCTCTGTAGTTTCTCTGTGTATTTGCCGACACTTGCTATCTTTCTTAGAAATTAATGTCATAGCTTTGAGATTTATCACTGCTTTTGACCTTAACCTAAATGATTGTCCAAACTTTTGTTGTTTTGTACATCTTTTTTGCTAGTAATGTTAGTTTACTAATTATCTAGGTTCTCAAGGAAAGAATTACTTGGCTTGAAGCTGCTTGTGGTTGTGGGCTGTTTTAATTTTGTAGGTGATTTCGGTTTTTTTTTCCGTTCTCTCTTTTTTTTTTTTTGGTTAAATAGTTGACATATTGGGCACAATAACAATAAATGTGCTAACATGGGTGGCAGCAGTCATCTGACAACTTTGTCAGAACTGGGCACAAATGGACCTTTATTTGTGCTTACACTTTTCAGCACAGCATTCATTATTGTGCTCTTTGATCAAAGGTGACGCCCATAGAGGGCACAGATAGAAACTTAGTTGCTGCCCTGTTACTATTGGTCTATGGGCACATATGTTGGTGCTCTTTGGCCTAAAGGGCACAGATAATCTATTGTGTGCAGTGTCCATATTTTTGTAGTGGTATATCAAGTGTTTTGCATTAGAAATGCCATTAAAAATGTCTTCCCAGCATCGGTGCGGTTCATAACACTTGGAACCAGCAATAGGGATTTTTGGGGTGAATTTTTCCGGGACATGAGCATCTTGATAAAGGGTAACTCTGCAACCATTCCTCTGAGCGAAAAATGTGTATGGAACTCCTTGGAATTCAGGACTTCTTATTCCCGAGACCAATTCGACTCCTGGTTTACGTTAAAGAAACGCAACTTCACGTCAATTTTCGAACGTCCATGCAGAGGTTTGTTGTGATAGATGATCTTAACCCATCTATCTACTACTTCGCTGTTGAGGAGTTCTGCAGCCGGCATGTGAGCCCTTCCGATCACTTTGGCCTCGAAAGCATTGTCTTCTTTAATGGAGAAAACAACATTTGAAGTCATGTGTGCACAGTAAATATGAAAGGATTCACACCACTGGGGATTTTTCGTTGAGTTTTCAAGCAGTCTAGTTCGTCCGACTCTTACATTTTCCAAATCAATTGTTGCATAGAGTCTGGAACCTTTCCCAAACCCTACTGACTCTCCAAGAAACTGCAATGAAATTGAATCATGACATTTACTGAAGTTAGATTTCTCAAACCCGTTGAGGATTTTTTTTTTTGTTGTCTGAAATTGTGAAAGTACCAAGATAAAATTCAAATAGAAAGAAATGCATACGACATTTTTAGAGTGTCGATAACAATACTCTGAAACTAACGTCGAATTTTTTAAGCAGAAATCAAATGTTTAGTTAGTAAAATGTCGCAAAATGAAATTTAAGTGGTCAAGCATCATATGAGTCCAAAATCAGGTAGCATTATTATAATTTATCCTAAAAATCAATAATGCCATGGCGAATGGGCATAGATCAAGATTGAAAATGTCTTGTAATTAGGATGATGGTCCCCTGAAAGTTGGAATACAGATACAGTAAATGTTACTGTAGTTGCAGCCACTTTGCAGGACGAAATCACACAGCCAAACATGGAAGTTTGATTATATCATGGAGAATTTTTCAAAAAAAAAAATTGTATTCCACAATCAAATTTGATAAGTGATATTTCAAATAAGTGTTTTCATATATACTCTTCTTCTTTTTGAAGAAATGATTCGTTGAAATATGCTACTATCACCTCTCATGCGGAAATAAAACTAACGGTGAATACGCCATAATAATTTATTGTGCAAGAAAATAATGAGAAATTTTGGATCATGATTGAATTGTTAGAGATAATAATATATGAATCTAAAGCAAAACAAGTTTAAGGGAAAAAGACTTGATCATCAAGTTTTGAGACGGAAAAATTAAAAACTGAAATAACATGATAAACAACACAATTCAGAGAGAAGAAGGACAAAGAGATTTATATCTTGCAGAAGAAAATGCAGCAACCACCAGTCATGAGCCTGTCAACCTCGTAGATGGTTGCATGGAGAACTCCATGCAGTAGCACTGGTTTCGCCGCCATATCGATCTCTGGAACTGTATCCGCAAATCGAACACAGGCTAGCTAGCAGCTTGTTTCAATCGCTATTGCCTCTTTGGGTCCCTTACTAATGTGATTTTAGTACATACAGACCAACCTGCTATGTATATCAAGTGTTTTGCATTAGAAATGCCATTAAAAATGTCTTCCCAGCATCGGTGCGGTTCATAACACTTGGAACCAGTAAGAGGGATTTTTGGGGTGAAATTTTCAGGGACATGAACATTTTGATAAAGGGTAACTCTTTAACCATTCAAACGGTAAAAGTTCGTTAATAATAAGTGGAGATAAATAAGTCAGAGAAACACACATTATCCTAACTTTATGAGATTTGATTGATATGTAATTTTTTATTGATAACATAATCAATTTATAATAAATATGAATTATCAATGTTTAGTTTTAATGATTTCAGCCCTCGAAAATTCATAAAGTTGTGATAGCCAAGAAGGCTACGTTACGTCACCGTGCAGTATATGAACAAGTGCGTGGGTGATCGGTATGCACAACAATCGACTTTTGCATATTCTGATTCGGATCAGGATCCTCTCCTAATTTAAGAATGGGGATCCGAAGGGATGTGGATCGTTAGATGAAAATTTAACAGTCATAATTATTATAACTTTAAAGAAGCATTCTGTTTGTAATCATTAAATTTTCATCCAACGATCTACATTCTTTGATCATGAGGATCATATTAGGAGAGGATCCTGGTCCTTCTGATTCTTATAATATTTTTCATCTTTTTGTTTGGAATATTCCTCTTGTCATCGGCGCTTATCCTGTAGCCAGCTCTGCCCTCTATTTCAACCCAGTTGTAAGCTAGCTTGTCATTACTTACGATCTCTCTCTCACTCTCGCTCTCACTCAAACTCTGAAACACAGAATCCATGGAAGGTCGGAGATTCCTGCGTTTTTTCTTCCTTTCCCTCTGCATAGGCCTAGTCCTCCTCTTCACTTGGTCCCACCTCCCTTACGCGCCGCCTTACGTCTCCGACCTCCTCGACTGCACAACAAACTCCGCCTGGTGCTCCTCCAAAAACCGCATCCAATCCAAATCCCCTATCCCAACGCGCCGCCTCAAAGACCACAGCTCCGACACCCCCCACCACCCTCTCGACCCCCTCACCATCCAAGAACTCAACGCCGTCCGCACCATCCTCAACTCCCACGCGCTCTTCACCTCCACCTCCGCCTACGCGCTCCACTCCGTCGAGCTCCAGGAACCCGACAAGTCCCTCGTCCTCGGATGGAAGCACGGCGACCCTCTCTTCCCCAGAAAGGCTTCTATCGTCGCACGTGTCGACAGCAAGTCGCTCGTGCTAACCGTTGACCTGACCACGTCCGAGGTGACCGTTCACGAGACCGGCTCCCACTACGGTTACCCGACGATGACGCTGGAGGAGCTGACCGCTGCCACGTTCAGGCCCCCTCAAGGACGCTGATTTCAACCGTACGATCGTCGAGCGCGGGGTCGATCTGGCGGACCTGAGGTGTCTCCCGCTTTCCACGGGGTGGTACGGCGGGGCCGACGAGAACAGGAGGTTGATTAAGGTGCAGTGCTACTCCACCAAAGATACTGTGAACTTCTACATGCGTCCGATCGAAGGGTTAACTGTTCTCAGTTGACTTGGACACCAAACAAGTGGTGGAGATTTCGGATAAGGGCAGGAGCATCCCCATACCAAAGGCCGCCAATACAGATTATAGGTACTCAGCCCAAAGGCCCAATCAAGTGAAAAAGCTGATCAAGCCCATATCTATAGAACAGCCGGATGGGCCGAGTTTTACGGTAGAAAATGATCATTTGGTCAAATGGGCAAATTGGGAATTTCACTTGAAGCCTGACGCCAGGGCGGGCGTCATCGTATCCCGTGCCAAAGTCTGGGACCCGGATACCGGGGAGCTGAGGGATGTGATGTACAAAGGGTTTACGTCAGAGTTGTTTGTGCCTTACATGGACCCCACCGATGCGTGGTACTTTAAGACCTATATGGATGCCGGTGAATACGGGTTCGGGTTACAGGCAATGCCTCTGGAGCCGCTTAACGATTGTCCGCGTAACGCCTACTATATGGATGCTGTGTTTGCGGCAGCTGATGGAAAACCATACGTCCGATCAAACATGGTTTGCATATTCGAGAGCTATACGGGCGATATCGGGTGGCGGCACACAGAGTGTCCGATAACGGGCATGGAGGTAAGGAACTTAACGTTACATGTATCGTATTTATTAGTTTTATGTTACATTATTAATATTTTGAATAGAATTAAGTAAGACTCATCTATACATGCAATTTCATTTCTATTAAGCAAAATATTTAGTATATTATGATGTTTTTAGCAAGTGCATCATTTTTATGCAAGTAAATAGCATTAGCGATGATAATACATAATTAGTACAAAAATAATGCGTTGTGACAGATTAGGGAAGTGAGGCCAAAGGTGACATTGGTAGTTAGAATGGCAGCATCAGTTGCTAACTATGATTATATCATCGACTGGGAGTTCCAAACAGACGGACTAATCAGAGTTAAGGTTAGTGGTGATTACTTCTCCTATAATTACAATCATTTTTGCATTTTATGTTTCCTTTTGAGTTTGATTAAAATCCTGATATATATATATATATATGTTCTCTTAGAGTGTAATTAGGATTAATAGTGCATGGTGTATCACCTGATTGATTGTGGTTGTTTCTACTTTATGAGTCTCACAAGCATGAATATCTCTGATTGTGGTCATTTATTTATGAATCTTACAAGCTTGAATAAATAGAATTGGCCGAGAGACTAATCCTTTCATTTATTGTATTTTTGTGGAAATTCACCATAATATTTTGTATTTTAAGATTGTTAATACTACATATAATACGTGTGTGCAACAAACATATAGGTTGGACTTAGTGGCATTTTGATGGTGAAGGGCACCTCCTATGAGAACATGAACCAAGTCTCATCTAGCCAAGAGAATCTCTATGGCACCCTCTTGTCGGAGAACGTTATTGGCGTTATTCACGATCATTATGTCACATTTCATCTTGATATGGACGTGGACGGCTCAGATAACTCCTTTATGAAGGTGAATCTCCAAAGGCAGTCTAACTCCCCAACTGAATCACCCAGGAAAAGCTACTTGAAAGCTACTAAAACCGTTGCCAAAACTGAGAAAGATGCACAGATTAAGCTCAAACTGTACGACCCGTCCGAATTCCACGTGATCAACCCGTCGAAAAAGACACGGGTTGGAAACCCTGTAGGGTACAAGTTGGTTCCCGGTGGCACTGCTGCTAGCTTGCTTGATCTTGACGACCCTCCCCAAAAGAGAGGTGCTTTTACAAACAATCAAATTTGGGTTACCCCATACAATAGGAGTGAACAATGGGCTGGTGGGTTGTTTGTAGACCAAAGCACGGGCGAAGATACTCTTGCCGTGTGGTCTAACAGGTACGTACATACTACTGTTAGGTCATTTATTTGCATTGAATTTACTGATCACATGTACACAATGCTGATACAATTCGATTTATTTTGATACTGTAGGGACCGACCAATCGAGAACAAGGACATTGTGGTTTGGTACACATTAGGGTTTCATCACATACCCTGTCAAGAAGACTTCCCTATAATGCCAACTGTGTCATCTAGCTTCGATATCAAACCTGTCAATTTCTTTGAGAGTAACCCCATACTTCGGACTCCTCCTAACGTTGCCACAGATCTACCCGTTTGCACGGCTGCTGCTTCAGCTTAATTAAGGTAGAGCGCATTCCACATGAAATCCATTGCTTTAACCTCAAAGATGTATTTATAATGAGTTTCTTATAGAAAGTTTCCTCCATATGTGCCTACTTTGGGGTTTTCTATGAAATTAGCTTTGATGTATATAAGTATGTAACAACTTACAAGTCGTACAAAAGCGACGTGACCCGAAAATAAAAGAAATTAGTGGGATGATCTTGCATTGTATATGTATTGTTCAATTCCAGTATGTAATTTGTGGTGATGGTGGTGGAACATATGCCTAAAAGTTTATCAATTTGATTAGCTTTAGCTTGTGTGACAATGAACTCGTGAAATCTGATGACTTAGGCTTGGTTTGGTACTGAGGTGATTTTGAATAAAAGCTGGGAGCTGTTTTTGTGTTTGGTAAACATCCAGCTTTAGTTTTTTTTCACAATTTTGGGTGAAAAAAGCCAAAAACAAGAAGCTGCAAAACCCAGCTTTGAAAAATCGGTTTTTTTTTTTCACATTTGTTTTACATAAAAGTTTACTAAACACTATAATACTGCTTTTTTTTTCAAAAGCACTTTTACAAAAATGTTTACCAAACACTCTGCTGCTTTATTTCACAGCTGCTTATTTACACAGCACAGCAGAAGCAGCTTTTTTTCAAAGTATAGCAATACCAAACCAACCCTTAGAGATTTCTAAAAGCACTTTAATTACACTAATTATAGTTCGTCAAAGATCCATGAAAACGAAACAAATATGTATAATCCATTACATTTTGTCATTGTTGTTGCGTAACTGAGAAGTATGCCGCCTTTGGGTGGCGACGTGGTGGAATAAAATGGACAGACCGGCTGTTTCGGCAGGTTAACATGATGGTGATGACCTGGGGTTGTCTAAATGGTACCATCATTTCTATGTATGCCTACCTCCATACTTGATTTTTCTAGTGGTATCATATACCTACTTGGACAAGGTCTCAAGTTCTAAATTTCCAAATATATCTCAAGTTTTATATTTTCTAATAATGCAATTGATTTGTCAGAAATTCAACGAGGCGAATCATTTAATCCACTCCTAACCACACTAATATTATGGTGTTGAATTTTATCACAAAATGTATTGATGTTATTAAAGGTGGAAGTCATAAACTTGTATATCATTTTTTATTTTCTTAACTCCCCAACGTGGAACTTATATTCAACATTGATATGCCTATATATACACAATATATATTATAAAGTAGTACGTGATCGACTAAGATATACCAACATCACTGTTGCATGAAAATTCTTCTGTAAGAGTAGAGCTCCAACCTTTTTTATGTGATACGACTTTTGTAGAATTCATAGACTTTTATTGAAATCCACACACTTTTTCTTAATAGACTGCTATATATTTTTGAGCGTTTAATGCTCGCCTTTTTTTTAGAGGTCAAGAGAATTTAACAAACTTTGTAATAATTACTCCTCTTTTTTGGTTAAGAAACCAATTAGGAGTAAGTAATGTTACACTTATGTAATTTACTTTTTCCTGATATGACCAAAATTGTTAGACATATGAAAGAATCCTTAACCCATAAACATTATATCTTTTTATTCCAAATTCTTGTAAATTGTGTGTTTCTAACGTCGTGCTAGAGTGGTGGAGGAGTGGGGGTGGAGTGGGGATGGGGTGGGGGTGGTGGTGGTGGTAATGGGCGTATAAGAGGGAAGTAAAGGTGGCGATCACGATGATGGCAGTGTCAGTAGACATAGGTGGGGGTGACGACGATAAAGTGGTCGCAGAAGGTTATGATGATGATGGTTGTGACAATGTAGTGGTAGTAGAGGTAGTGGAGGGAGTGGTGGTGGCGGGCAAGTGAACATGGTATTATTTCAAGTGGCAATCATGTTGGTTGTATCGGTGGAGGCATAAATATGGTTCTAGGAGCTTGTGACACGGTGATGATTGTATGACAAGGTGCTAGTAGAAGAAGTGAGATGATTGTGATGGTAGCGACATCAATGGTGATGACATGGTGTTGCGGAAGTGGGAGATATCTGATTCTTATTGCATCATGGCGGGTGGTGGAGTAATCATTAGAAGTAATAAAACAAAATCCATTAAAAATTTAGGAGAGGTTGAATTTATTATGACAACAAGTATACCATAAAACACATCAAAGTCTCTAAAAGTCCATGACTTTTTTAAAATGGAAAACTAACTGAAAAGTCCGAAAAAATTTATTTTTAATGAAAAATGACAAATAAAGGTGTAGTGAATAGTACTAAGGAAAGGTAAAAATGTGGCTTTTCGTTAAAAGTGAACAGTACCGAAGTGTTTCGTTAAAACTCCCTTTTAAAATCCTTTAAAATGAATGAAATATTGAATACATCTAGACTTTTGTAGGCTGGTAAAAAAGTCATAATATAATACCTACAAGATTTTTGTAGACTTTTTAAAAGTCGTAAAAAATCTTTATTCAATATAGGGTGACTTGTATAGTCTCCAACAAAACCAAGATTGAATACACTTGAATTTAAAGCCTAGTTTGCCATGTCATATTAAGCACCGGATATGATTAATAATACGGTAGCCATTGTTTGGTGCACTCTCATACTAAATAAGCACTGCTTAATTATACCATCCATCAAATTTAGTACGGCTAACACTGGACAATTATTACAACCCAAAAGCTTGGTATTATTAATCGCTTCCTGTTTCGTCACATTTCAGCCATCGATGTCAAAGCACGACGATGTGGACGAAGAGGTAGTTGAGATCAAGAAGCCCGATTGATCGTCAACAACAACAAGCTTTGCAAGCTCAATCATCTTCCGTCGCCGACAGCATTGGATCCAACTCCTACGGTTCCGGTTAACTCGGACAATGCCACCAATTGATTTCTTTTCTTCATCAATTTGAATCTTCAATTTAATCAGTAGTTGTTTTGGTTGGTGAATCGATGTGGGTTTTGGGTGATTGAAGAAATGAGGAAGTGGGTTCGTATGGGAGGGTGGAATTTGAAGCGTGGGTAAGATGGTGAAGAAAGGAAGACACGCTGGGAAGAGACCTAGGTTTTTCACCTTCCTTTTTTTCTAATTTTTTTTTTTTTAAATTTTGTCTTAATGATATTTAATTACTTTTTTTTTCCTTCTGTTTTTCTCCCTTTTTTCATTTTAACAACAATTATTATGTGATTTTAAAAAAATAATTATAGTCAACGTATTATCCGATGGACAACCCGACTAATTTATCAGTATTAGACTATTTGTCCTATCCGATTGAAATAGTCTGTACAGTCCAAGTTGCCAAACGAGGCTTAAGAATACACTCCCTTAAACTTAAAGCTCCCATTTCTTTTTTCTAGTTATTGATAACATCAAAGATACTAATTTCAGTGGTATAATTTGAGTAGAAATAAATTAAGCATGTTTTGCCACTTAGTATAATAGCCTAGTGGCATTTCTCTTCACTTGTTAGTGAGAGGTCTTAGATTCGATTCTCGCTAAAGATAAATTTGAATCATATTATTACTAGTCCATTGTGAAGATAATATCGTTTGTTCAAAAATAAAAAAAAAATTAAAATAATACCGCCCGTCAACTAACAATATTTTTACCCTAATCATGCTACATCTATTTTTATATATACCAACAAATAGATTCATTGAACAACATTCAAGTTACCTCCAAATCCTAATGTTAAACCTTTTTACTGAAACAATTTATTCAAAATCGTCTTAATAGGGGCATCGACTAATTCTATTTAAGAAGATTCTTGATATTCATTCCATGTAACTTAGCTTTCCCGAGTTTCACTGGGGATTAGTCCTACCCTTAGGACTTGAGCAATTTGAAATATCATTTTTCATCACTTTAACAAAGAAGATAAATAAAACAAGTCAAATCCGGAAATGCTTGAGAAAAGAAAATCGTAGGAAAGAGGAACATAAGCTTGAGGTTTTCAAAACAAATGCTCTTATACCTAGGAATTTCTAGGAACGAAAGTTTGGTATAAATTCATAATTGATATACCGATATCTCACAAGAGAACATTATCGTAAACATGCAGCTTTTGAGAAATATTTTTTGGCTTAAGTTGGTATTAATTATTACAAGTGAAGTATTTTTAAGGAATTTGATTGCAGCATTGTTCTACTCATAGAGTGCTAGATCTAATAACCTTGGAGTTGGGATGGCAACCAAAGGAAGCTTCTTCTTCAACACAATCCCAAACTTCTCAGAAAGATCCAACTTCTCTCCCTCTGGCAATTTCCAGTCGAAAGAATGCAAAAGTGTATCAAGTGCTCTCAGCCATTGCAATCCCAACACATATTCTTCTGCCTGAACCAAATGGAAATTTGTTGAAGTCCTTCCCACTGTAGTCCCATTTGATGTCCAAGAAACTCTCCGGATTGAACTCCAACGGGTTTTCCCAAATCGAAGGGTCTCTGAGTATGGCCCAAACATTGATGAAAATCTAAGATCCTTTCAGAATGGTGTAGCCTCCCACAATGCATGTTTCACTTGGGCAATAAAGAGACCAACAGAGGCAGGGCTAGGTGCAAGCGCAAAGTTTCTTTCATCATAGCTTGTAAGTATGGCAATTTGTCGATGTGGGATTCTTCTACAATGTTGTGTTTTCCAACTACATCTTCTAACTCTTGCTTGACTTTTTCCATCATCTCTGGTTTGTTCAAGATTTCAGTCAGTGCAAACTCAGTTGTGTTGGAGGAAGTGTCAGTCCCCCCCCCCTCCACTACCATATCCTGTCCACAAAAAATTGTGTTACTGTACTAATTGGCTCTCAGGAAACAAGGGAAAATAAATGCTCGTGTGGAAAGTAACTTCCATACATGTAGGGCTGAAAACTTGAAGCTTGAAATCTAAAATCTAAGCGATTAGCTGCCAATGTAAGGCTAAAAACTTAACGTAGACTGTAAAACAATCAACCATGTCAATAGGTGAGATTAAATTTGAGATTTAGGTTGTCTCAATGCATAATGTTTCAAGGGCAGACATAACCTCATGCACACAAAACCATTGAATGAAAACTTACGAATTTGGTAGGTTAAACTATTGGACAGTCTTGCCACTTAGTACTACGGTCTAATAGTATTCCTCTTCACTTGTAAGTGATAAGTTTTAGGTTTGATTCTCACCAAAAGCGAATTTGAACTACATTATTGTTAGCCTATTGTGAGAGTAAGCGCACCAATTTTCCTTTAATGTAGATAATATCGTTTATTAAAAAAAAAAAAAAAAAAACACTATTGGATGGTCTTCAAATTTCCATTTTCTTTTTAAACTCGGGTATTCAGAACTCGAATTTATCCACAAGCTTGTCATGTACATACCTTTTTGAAAAGAAGAAATCATGATGTAGGAAAAAATAAATGGATGAGATGAAAGATGAGCTTCGAAGGGACAGCGACACTGTAAATCCAAACATGAAAATAGTGCAGACAACAAAACCATGGAGACTCTCATGGACCATATGCACTTAATTGGGTAGCCACAAACGTTCATTTAGAAAATGATAGTGGATCATATGCAGTTAATTGGGTAGGAATAAACTTCCAATTTGAAAATGATTACCGTATCGGCTTTGTTTTGGTTTTCACTTTGTTTGCATATTTGTTTCATAGTTACAAACCAAAAACTAAAAGTTATATTTTTTGAGTTTTCAAACTTTACCTTTCAATTTTTAATTAATAATTGTTGGTGCATTTTTTGTTTTTTTTTTCTTCAACAAATGATAGTATCTACAGTAAGGGAGTGTGGAAGTAAAGCTAATATTTACAATAAGCCTGCCATAATATGTAGTTTCTCACTTACAATTGAGGAGGAATATTACTAAATCGTAGTATTAAATAGCTTGTTGGTGCATTTTTAATGAGGTTTTTATGATAAATGGTTCTTGAAATTGATCTATCTCATCAACATGGTCCTTGAAATTGAAAATTAATCAATGTTGTCCCTGAATATGGGTGCTGCAAATCAATGTAGTCATTCCGTTAGAATTCTGTCAAATAATCTGTTAGTGTGTTGATGTGGCACATGTATGCATTCATATATCCAATTAAAATGCACCATGTGGATTATGTTTTATTTTTTAAATAGAAATGAGTTTTTTTTTTCTTTTTCCAAAGCTTTAAAAAAAAAAGAAAAAGAAAGAGGAAGGATCAGCAAGCCACAGCCACCCCAACCACTTAAAGCTGCCGTTCCCATCCCTCCCCAAGCACCCCAACCCACTCAAAGCTGCCGAAGTCCCCCACAACGTGGTGACTTCTCTCTCCCTCTTTCACGCCTTCCCCTTTCTTTCTTTCTCCCCCCTCTCCGATCGAACCTCCCATCTGCGCACACCCATTTTCCCTTCCCTGGCGCCCCACATTCTTCCACGACCCCCCACTCGCAATTTCCAGTTTTGATTTTCAAGATTATTATTATTTTTTTGTTTAGACATCGCCAGTAATCCCATAGCTATAGAGATACCACAATTTTCTGTAATCTTCATTATCTATGCATAATCTGGTCTGATAAGTCAGAAAAGACCAAAATCAATAAGATTCATAACAAAATGAGATTAAAATTTTAATCACATGCTAGCATCACCCCTCTTGTTCCATTGACCATGGTCAAAACCAGGAGAAGATGAGACCAAGTCTGAGGGAGAATCGGTTCTTCGATTACGATCCAAAAGATCAAAAACAGTGGAAGGAACTAGAGAGTCGAGAGATCCTAAAAGCCAGAATGACTAAACTTTTGTTTATTTCTTTCTATTTACTCAGGTTTATTGTTTTCAGAATTTTGATCATTCTTAAAAATAATAGCTTGATATAATCCGCGTGTTGCAATTTAATAGGGTATATGGGTCCATAAATGTGTCACATCAACACACTAATAGATTATTTGACATAATACTAACGAGATGACTATATCGATTTGCAGCATCCAATATTTAAGGACAATATTGATCAATTTTCAATTTCAGGACCATTTTGTTGGGATGAGCTAATCTAAGGGTCATTTGTTATAAAAATCCTTTTTAATATTAAATAAATAAATTATAATTATAATTATTTGATTGCTAGTGGGGAGTTAAGTTTGTTTGTCGTTATTTGTTATTAGTACGGAATTAAGTGGAGTCTTTTAACCTTTCTCCTGTTGTAACTCTTGTAGCTCTTATAATTGTTAAGTATAGGTTTATTACCCTATTCACTTAAGGGTGATAATAAACAATAATTAGTAGTATTTTCTCCATCATATTTTTATTTATCATCCCACTAGCATTTTCCTCTACATCTATTGTTCTTCATGCCTCCATCTTTTCCATCTTTTACTTATTGGCCACTGAAGGTTGTTTTTGTGGACTCTTCCTTTTTGTGCAGCTAGGTTTTAGTCACACGATGATTCAGTTGGACTATTATATTCTGGAGGGGGCAAGTTAGGATATATATTGTTGCACCGGTTCGAGAATTTTTGTCAAACCACAGTGGCCTTGAATCTCTTTAAAAAAAGTGAGATACCAACGTCTCAACCTAATATCTAAGCGACTCAATATCACAATTTTATTGTAATTTTTCGTGTTTCACTGGGAATTAGTCCTATCCTTCGGACTTCAGCAATTTGAGATATCACTTTTGATCATTCGAACAGAGAAGAATAAAACAAGTCAAATCTGGAAATGCTTGAGAAAAGAAAACCGTAGAAAGGGGACATCAGCTTGAGGTTTTCACGCGCACACACGCACACACACACACACACACACACACACACACACACATATATATATATCGATATCTCACAATAGAACATTATCGTAAACATGCAGTTTTCAAGAAATATTTTTGGGCTTAAGTTGGTATTAATTATTACAAGTGAAGTATTATAAGGAATTTGATAGCAACATTGTTCTACTCATGGAGTGCTGGATCTGATAACCCAAAGTTGGGATGGCAATCAAAGGTATCTTCTTCTTCAACACAATCCCAAACTTCTCAGAAAGATCCAACTTCTCTCCCTCTGGCAATTTCCAATCAAAAGAATGCAAAAGTGTAGCAAGTGAATGCATCACCATCCTCTCAGCCATTGCAATTCCAGCACATATTCTTTTGCCTGACCCAAATGGAAAATAGTTGAAGTCTTTCCCACTATAGTCCCATTTGCTATCCAAGAACGGCTTTGGATTGAACTCCAACGAGTTTTCCCAAATCGAAGGGTCTCTGTGTATGGCCCAAACATTGATGAAAATCCGAGATCTTTTTGGAATGGTGTACTCTCCCACAATGCATGTTTCACTTGGGCAATGAGGGACTAACAGAGGCAAGGCTGGGTGCATGCGCAGAGTTTCTTTCATCACAGCTTGTAAGTATGTCAATTTGTTGATGTGGGATTCTTCTACAATGTTGTGTTTGCCAACTACGCCTTCTAACTCGTGCTGGGCTTTTTCCATCATCTCTAGTTTGTTCATGATTTCAGCCATTGCAAACTCAGTTATGTTGGAGGAAGTGTCAGTCCCACCCACCACCATATCCTGTCCATAGAAAGTTATGTTACTGTACTAATTGGCTCTCTGGAAACTAGGGAAAACAAATCCTCATGTGGAAAGTAACTTTCATACAGGTAGGAGGTTAGGTACTTTGTACGAGAGTACAAATACCAATACCTAACCACAATCTTAGGCAATGTGAGTATTAATATGGAATTATAGCTGCGTGCAATGCACCCTCTTAACACCAATACCTAACCACATAAAGTTTCAAGTTCCTACCTACACAAAAGACGTAACGATCAAGATGCTGTTTCCGAAAGAGGCTCGTTTTGTGAATCGTGATTGATGAGTTTGATGTGGTAAATCAGGTCAAAATGCTGCAGGAAATGGGGTAATATTTGTTGGACCTAGATGAAATGAAGAGTGGTGGATTGCACTCTTGAATGTAATGGAGCTTGAGATAATGGGGCTTTTAGGTTTTTTATTTTTTTATTTTTATTTTTATTTTTTCTCTTTGATATACGCAGCCGTCGTCATGCATGACATGTCAGGCCGTTCCGTGCCAAAATATTGGAGTTCTTGATGGTCAGATTTAGTTGAAGATAGGAAAACGACTGAGGGCCAATGGAGTTTTAAAAGTTTTGAGCTTGAAAGCAACTTATATGACATGAGTAAAATATCATTATGGTATTTTATATTAATTATATAAAACATCACATAACAGTATTTTTGTGTATTATTGACATAAAAAATCACAATAATCATATATCCGCGCGATGTTAGTTTTTCTCATAGCTTCGATGAAAAAAAAAATATTAATAAATAAAATACGTAGGAAGCTTGCAGCAAGCACATGCATGCCTTGTTGGAGAACAATTTAGAACCAATAAATAACAGAAATACAGTACCGAAATACTTATACTTTATTATTCAAAAATACTTCCAATACAGAATGCAATTATACAATAAATACATAAACTAATATAAAAATATCAATGATACTAACTTGATCACAGAAGGTAGAGGCTAGCGTAAAAGCTATGTCCTTCGAACAGTATTTTCATCCCACTCTTGTGCTTGTGGTTCTACAACGTCTGCTCGACCAGGATACAACTACCTAATTCTACAACCCGCATTGGATTATAGAACTCTAGAGAATTACTTTGTGTGTTTACTCTCTGGAAATTTTGTACGGAAGATAAGGAGGAAGAAAAGATGATTCTCATTTTGTACGGAAGATAAGGAGGAAGAAAAGATGATTCTCACTTGGAT